GTGGATTCTTTTGAGTTCTTGTTGACTGTCATTCAGATTGTGTTTTGTAAACATACAATAACCCCCCTAAGTAACTCACCTCCCTTTCTCCTGCCCTTTCCTTAATTGAATGCCCAGGTCCCCTTCCTTACTTGTAATTTATCTGTATTCAGTTGGTTTTTAAAAAATTAGACTCCTCATTGTGAGATAACTGTAGGTTCACAAGCCGTTGTAAGAAATAATACAGAGAGATCCCATGTGCTCCTTATTCAGCTTCCCTGATAACAATTTCCTGCAAAACTGTAGTCTAATATCACAACCAAGATACTTACATTGGTAGAGTCAAGATATAGGACATTTCTATCACCCCGAGAATATCTCTTGTTGCCTCTTTGTAGCCACACCCTCTTCCTTTCTGCCCTTCCCCCTGCCCCTTACGCCCTTGGCAATCACTCATTTATTCTCTGTTTCTATAATTTTGTCATTTCAAGGATGTTATATAAAGTTTATATACATTTATAAACTGTTATATAAATTTCAATCTCCGGAGACTCATCCAGGTTGTTGAACGTATCAATAGTTTAAACCCTTTTAATTGCTGAGTAGCATTCTATGGTATGGATGTACCACAGTTTGTTTAACCATTTATTTGTTGAAGGATATCTGGGTTGTTTCCAGTTTTAGTTTAGTTAGGAATAAAGCTACTGTAAATATTCATGTGCAGGTTTTTGTGTGAGAACATGTTTTCATTTTTCTGGGATGAATGCCATGAGTGAAATTGGTGGGCCATGTGGTAGTTGTATATTTAGTTGTTTTATAAACAACAAAACTCTTTTTCTTTGGTGGCTGTACCACTTTATATTGCTCATAAACTAGATATGAATTATCTAGTTTATCTGCATTCTTATCGGCATTTATGCTGTCACAATTTTTTATTTTAGCCATTCTGATAGGTATGTAGTGATAGCTCATTGTAGTTTTAATTGGCATTTTCCTAATGACTAACGATGTTGAACATCATTTCATGGGTTAGTTGCCAACTGTATATCCTCTTGGGTGAAATATTCGTTCATGACTCTTCTTCATTTTCTCATTGGATTTTTTTTATTGTTAAGTTTTGAAATCATATATTGTAAATTATTTATTCTAGATACTTTTCTTTGCTGGATATGTGGTTTACAAATATTTTCTCCAAGTCATAGGTTGTCTTTTTATCCTCCTAACAGTCTTTTGCAGAGCAAACGTTTTACATTCTGATGCGGTCCAATTTATCAGTTTTTTCTTGTATGGATTGTGCTGAGAACACTCTGCCTAGTTCTAGATCCTGAGAAGTTTTCCTATTTTTTTTTCTAAAAGTTTTATAGTTTTACATTTAAGTTTTCAATCCATTTTGAGATAATTTTTATACAGGTTATGAGACTTATATTGAATCTCTCTCTCTCTCTCTCTCTCTCTCTCTCTCTCTTTTGCCTATGAATGTTCTTTCCTCCACAGAATTGCCACTGAATAGCTTTTTGCACCACAATAAAAAATCAGTCAAGCATATTTGTGTGGGTCTATTTCTGGGTTCTCTAGTCTTTTTAATTAATCTATGAGTCTATTCTTCTACCAATACCACACAGTCTTAATTACTGTAGCTATATATCAAGTCTTGAAATTGGCTAGACTGATTCCTTCCACTTTATTTTTCTTATTAAAAATTGTTTTTAGCTATTTCAATTCTTTTGCCATTCCATAGAAATTTTAGAATAATCTTGTGTATCTACAAAAACTATTGCTGGCATTTTGCTAGAAATTGTGCTAAACCTGTATGTCAATTTTAGCAACACAGCATGCCTCTTCATTTATTTATATCTTCTTTTTTTTTAATCCGCACCTGAGGATATTTTTTTCCATTGCTTCCCAGATTTCCAGAGAGAGTGAAAGGGAGGGAGGGAGAGAGGGGGAAAGAAACATTGATGTGAGACACACAGAACAGTTGCCTCCCCCATGAGCCTCAACTGGAGGTAGAGAGTGAACCTGCAACCCACGTATGTGCCCTTGACTGGGAATCAAACCTGCAACCCTTTTTTGCACAGGCTGACGCTCTAACCACTGACCCATGCCATCCAGGGCTATTTATATCTTCTTTGATCTCTTATCAGCATTTGGTTGTTTTTAGCATATAAGTCCTGTTTATATTTTGTTATATTTGCACCTAAGTGGCTTTTTATTATAGAGGCCTGGTACATGAAATTCGTGCACTCAGGAGGGTCCCTCAGCCCTGCCTGCACCCTCTCACAGTCCAGGAGCCCTTAGGGGATGTCCGACTGATGGCTTAGGCCTGCTCCCAGTGGGCCTAAGCTGTCAGTTGGACATCCTTAGCGCTGCTGTGGAGGCGGGAGAGGCTCCTGCCACTGCTGCTGCGCTCACCAGCCATGAACCTGGCTTCTGGCTGAGCGGTGCTCCCCCTGTGGGAGTGCACTGACCACCAGAGGGCTGCTCCTGCATTGAGCGTCTGCCCCCTGGTTGTCAGTGCGCATCATAGCAACTCATCGTTCTGCCATTCAGTTGATTTGCATATTAGCCTTTTATTATATAGGACTAGAGGCACAGTGCACAAAATTCGTGCATGGGGGGGGGTTGTCCCTCAGCCCGGCCTGCACCCTCTCCAATCTGGGACCCCCTCGGGGGATGTCCGACTGCCGGTTTAGGCCCGATCCCACAGGATCTTTAAACTGGCAGTCGGACATCCCTCTCACAATCTGGGACTGCTGGTTCCAAACGGCTCGCCTGCCTGCCTGCCTGATTGCCCCTAACAGCTTCTGTCTGCCAGCCTGATCTCCCCCTAACCACTCCCCTGCCAGCCTGATTGATGCCTAACTGCCCTCCCCTGCCGGCCTGGTCTCCCCCAACTGCCCTCCCCTGCTGGCCATCTTGTGGTGGCCATCTTGTGATGATGTTGTGTGAGGGCATCATGCGAGGGCCACCTAGGCATTTATTATATAGGATGGCATTCTATAATTTTGGTGCTCATTTTCTAGTATATAGAAATACAATGATTTGTATTTGATTATCTTGTGTTGTGTGACCTAGAAGTTTATATGTCAATTCCTTGGGGTATTCTACCACTATGTTATTTGGAAGTAGGGATACTTTTATTTCTTCCTTCTCAATCTTTATTTTTCTGCCTTATCACAGTGGCAGTACTATGTTGAAGAAAAGTAGTGAAAGCTGGTATCTTGCCTTGTTCTTGGTCTTAGGGGGAAAGCCTTTAGTCTTTCACCATTAAATAGGATGTTAGTTTTAGGGTGTTGTTTTTTTTGGTAGATGCTCTTTACCAAGTTTAAGAAGTTTATAGAAGAGCTCTGTGCACTGGTGGGAGGGGTAGGAACAATTCCCATACCCAAAGGTGCACACTGGGCACTTCGTTTTCTAGCTTTTATTTGTTTGTTTGTTTATTTATTTATTGTCACCTTTTAAGGCCTGGGACCAATTATAGTGGGAGCAGGGATATTCAGATTCTTTTATATTCACTAACAGGCCTTTAACCTCTGGATGAAAAAATAAGTTCCCGCGACATAAAAGGAAGTATCACCTAAAGTTTTATAAGAATTTGTAAGTGGCACAGAAGTGCAGCTGGGCTGGGGGTGGGGGTCCCTTCCAGCTTAGCCTAGTGTCTGGAAACATAGCTTTTTGTCTTTGGCTGCTGAAGTGAAACCCATTTGTGATACTCTTTTGGAACCAAGCTTCTCTAGACGTCTTCCTTCACTGACTCTGCTTCATTAAAGACCTGTCGTTTAGGGAAATGTAACCTCAGTGTGGAACGGCGTGGGTTTTAATCCAGCTGGAGCAGTTTGGGATCCTGGTTCTATCTTTCCTAGCTGCATGACCTTAAAGTTCATTTATTTACTTAAAGACAGTCCTGTAGTGCCTACTTTGGGCCAACTACCATGCGGGGTTTTGGGAATAAAGTAGTAAGTACCTTTCGTTGTCCTATTTTCTTCATTTTCTAGCCTTCAGCAAGTTCAGCTGGTTTTACTTCAAACATATGTCCAAAATTGGACTACTTTTCTTCATCACCCTGTCTTTTCCTCAGGGTGTTATAATAAGTTTCCTGACTCTGTTCTTCCCTCTAATCCGCTGCCTCAATTCATTATGCAGCAGCCAGGGTGATCTTTTATAAACACGCATCGGATTATTCTTTGGCTTAAAAGCCTCCGGTTATACTGACGTACTGAGAATAAAATCCAGGCCTCTCCATGACCCACCAGGTCTTGCATGGTTTGGTTTCTGCTTCCTCTCTGAACTCATCTAGCACCCTTCCCCGCTCATTTCGTGTGCTTCGGTCACATCAGACTTTTTTCTTTTCCCCAAAATACCCAGCTTGTCCTACTCTGGGTTCATGACACCAGTTATGCTCTCTGCCCGGGATAGTTTTTCCATATAAGTTTGAATGGCTGGTTCCTTGTTGTCATTTCAGATTTTAGTTCAAACACTCTCCCTCTCCTAATCCTCAAGTCACATTCCATCAAATCACTGGGTGTTCCATGCCGCTTCTTATTTAGCTCTTATCACAATTTGGAATTTCCTTGATTTGTCTACTAGCCCGAGCTCCATGAGAGCTGGAACCATGCTGTTTCCTTCATTACTGTATGTCCAGTGTCCAGAACAGTTCCTGGCACGGAACACTACATATTTGTTGAGTGAAGCTATTTCATTCTCTTGAGCCTCAGTTTCTCACTTGTCACATAGAATCGTAATTGGCTAATAAAATAAGGTTGTATTTAGAATGAAGTGAGATAATACATGTATGTTAAGTATTTATTACAATGTTTGGCACAGAGTAAGCTAAATAATAGTTTGCCGTTGTTTCATTGTGATTATTTATATTATAATGTTCACTTCCCTTCTCCCATACTCCTCTAGGATCTATTCTTGCACCCAATGACCCATCTGGAGCGTCATGATGATTTGTCAGTGACAGATGCTTGCCATTAAATCCTAACTTAGTTCTCTCTTGGTCGTGTTTTTCTGTACAGGTGCTGCAGCTGGGCTCAGACATCCTTCCCCAATACAAGCAAGAGGCACCAAAGACTCCCCCTCACATCATCTTACATTACTGTGTTTTTAAGACCACGTGGGATTGGATCATCTTGATTTTAACCTTCTACACAGCCATCTTGGTCCCTTACAATGTCTCCTTTAAAACCAGGCAGAACAATGTGGCCTGGCTGGTTGTGGATAGCATCGTGGACGTCATCTTTCTGGTGGACATTGTGTTGAATTTTCACACCACCTTTGTTGGCCCAGCTGGGGAGGTGATTTCCGACCCCAAACTCATCCGCATGAACTATCTGAAGACGTGGTTTGTGATTGACCTTCTGTCCTGTTTGCCATATGACGTCATCAACGCTTTTGAGAACGTGGACGAGGTTAGTGCCTTTATGGGTGATCCAGGGAAGATTGCTTTTGCTGATCAGATTCCACCACCCCTGGAGGGGAGAGAGAGTCAGGTACATCCCTCAAATCTCAGACCTTGTTGTCATGTCTTTAAAGTTGAATTAAATGTGGGTGGTGAACCGAAGAGTAATTAATGGGTGGGAACCAGCATGATGATGTCTGGAACAGAGGGAGCATGCTTGATAGCTATCCTCACCCACTGTTCTTGCCTTTGGAGGTTCAGGGGTTCTGCATGTCAGTGAATGGTGTGGAAGAGACCAAAGGCTTCCCTTTCACTCCATGTGGAGCGCATGCTATTGGCTCAAAGGTGGTGGGGCTGCAGAAACAGGCATGCGTTGCCACTGCATTGCTGAATCTCTCACTCTGTATGCATTTGCTGGATGTCTACTTATTGATTATGTTAAATACGGGGACTTTCTATCATCTGTCGCTGACCTTTGGCTGTTTCATTTTAATTAACTCCTAGCAACAAGGATGCTATTTTCTCCTAAGTTTGCTTGCTTATTTATTTATTTAATCTTGGAGGGGGAGGGGTAAGTGTGGGGAAGAAACGAGTTGCTTCTTTGCTAAACTGAGTTTTGGAGGTGACCAGTGGCATTCAGTTGTCCGTACTTTCCCTGGCCTAGATTTGCTGAGAGAGTCAGGCTGTAGCTAAGAGTAATGTTGTTACTAGATTACACTGCTATTGGATGGTTAGTCCTGCGGGCAATGGCAGGAAAAAGAAAAAAAAAAAGCCCTGCAAATGCGTTAGAATCAGGACATGGGTACACAGTCAGTGAATGGATGTCTGGGACATGTTGTAGCAGGAAAAGCCGCTGGGCTGGTTAAAGTGATTTCCTCCTTTGAAAAAGCAAGGATGTCAAGTCATTGCAAAGGAAAACATCAGATTCTTATCTAGTTTGTGTCCTACTGGAATGGTTCTTTCTTTTTCCTGCTCCTTGGTTGACACTCCAGATGGATTAAGATAAGGCAGTTCATCTGGCAAATCTTCAGCCCTAGGCAGCAGTGGACCCTCATGGCCTGAGACTACAGAGGGTCCCAGAGGTGTTTTCCTGGCTGGGCTGTTTGTTAGCTGGGTAGGTAGTTTAGTTTTCTGAGTAGAGGTCTTTTACCTCTTTAGTTAAGTTTATTCCTAGGTAGCTTAATTTTTTTGGTGCGATGGTAAATGGGATTGCTTTTTTAGTCTCTCTTTCTGCAAGTTCACTATTGGTGTATAGAAATGCCATAGATTTTTTGGCATTAATTCTGTATCCTGCTACATTGCCGAATTCTTTTATTAAGTCTAATAGTTTTTTGATGGAGTCTTTAGGGTTTTTTAGGTATAATATCATGTCATCTGCAAATAAGGACAGTTTTACTTCTTCTTTTCCAATTTGGATGCCTTTTATTTCTTCTTCTTCTCTAATTGCAATGGCTAATACTTCCAATACTATGTCGAACAGGAGTGGTGAGAGTGGGCATCCCTGTCTTGTTCCTGTTCTTAGGGGAAATGGTGTTAGTTTATGTCCATTGAGTATGATGTTGGCTTTGGGTTTGTCATATATGGCTTTTATTATGTTGAGGTATGATCCTTCTATTCCCACCTTGCTGAGAGTTTTTATCAAAAATGGGTGTTGAATTTTGTCAAACGCTTTTTCTGCATCAATTGAAATGACTATGTGGTTTTTTTCCTTCAATTTGTTTATGTAATGTATCACGTTTATTGATTTGCGGATATTGAACCATCCTTGCATCCCTGGGATAAATCCTACTTGGTCATGGTGTATGATCTTTCTGATGTACTGCTGGATCCGATTTGCTAAGATTTTGTTGAGGATTTTGGCATCTATGTTCATGAGGGATATTGGCCTGTAATTCTCTTTCATTGTGTTGTCTTTACCTGGTTTTGGTATTAGGGTGATGCTGGCTTCATAGAATGAGCTTGGAAGTGTTCCTTCCTCTTGGATTTTTTGTAGTAGTCTGAGGAGGATAGGTTTTAGTTCTTCCTTGAATGTTTGGTAAAACTCCCCTGTGAAGCCATCTGGTCCTGGGCTTTTGTTTGCTGGAAGCTTTTTGATGACTGCTTCAATTTCTTCCATAGTTATTGGCCTGTTGAGATTTTTAGATTCTTCCTGATTAAGTTTTGGAATGTTGTATTTTTCTAGAAATATGTCCATTTCTTCCAGGTTGTCTAGTTTGTTGGAGTAAAGTTGTTCATAGTATTTTTTAACAATCACTTGTATTTCTGTGGGGTCTGTTGTTATTTCGCCTCTATCATTTCTGATTTTATTTATTTGGGTCCTCTCTCTTTGCTTCTTGGTGAGCCTGGCTAGAGGTTTGTCAATCTTGTTTATCCTTTCAAAGAACCAGCTCTTGGTTTCATTGATTTTCTGTATTGTTTTTTTGGTCTCTATGTCTTTTATTTCTACTCTAATCTTTATTATCTCCTTCCTTCTGCTCACCCTGGGCTTTTCTTGTTGCTCTCTTTCTAATTCTTTGAGCTGTAGATTTAGATGATTTACTACCATTTTTTCTTGTTTGTTGAGGTAGGCCTGTAGAGCTATAAACTTCCCTCTCAGGACTGCTTTCATTGTGTCCCAAAGGTTTTGGATTGTTGTGTTTTCATTGTCATTAGTGTCCAGGATGTTTTTAATTTCTTCTTTGATCTCATTGGTAACCCAATCAATATTTAATAACATGCTATTCAGCTTCCAAGTGTTTGAGTATTTTGGGTTTTTTTTATTGTAGTTTATTTCTAATATTATGCCTTCGTGGTCTGAGAAGATGCTTTTTATGATTTCAATCTTCTTGAATTTGGGGAGACTTTGTTTGTGACCCAATATGTGGTCTATTTTTGAATATGTCCCATGAGCACTTGAGAAGAACGTATATTTTGTGGCGTTGGGGTGAAGTGTTCTGAAGATGTCTATTAAGTCCATCTGATCTAGTGAGTCATTTAGGATTGCTGTTTCTTTGCTGAGTTTTTGTTTAGCGGATTTATCCAGTGATGTCAGTGGTGTATTAAAGTCCCCTACTATGATTGTATTGTTGTCGATCTCTCTCTTGATATCTTCCAGGAGTTTTCTTATGTATGTGGGTGCTCCTGCATTGGGTGCATATATGTTTATCAGGGTTATATCTTCTTGTTGTATTGATCCCTTTAGTATTATGAAGTGGCCTTCCTTATCTCTTGTTATGGCCTTCACTTTGAGGTCTATTTTGTCCGATATAAGTATTGCTACCCCAGCTTTCTTTTCCTTTCCATTTGCCTGAAAGATATTTTTCCATCCCTTCACTTTCAGTCTGTGTGAGTCCCTTCTAATGAGGTGGGTCTCTTGTAGACAGCAAATGTATGGGTCATGTTTTTTTATCCATTCAGCCACTTGATGCCTTTTGATTGGGCCATTTAGTCCATTAACGTTTAAGGTTATTATTGAAAGGTACTTGTTTGTAGCCATTTCTATTTTTTTGTGGCTGTTTTCTTTCTGGGCTTTTTATTTCTTCTTTTTACACCAGTCCCTTCATCATTTCTTGCATTGCTGGCTTGGTGGTGATAAACTCCCTTAGCCTTTTTTTGTCTGTGAAGCTTCTTATTTCCCCTTCAATTTTGAATGATAGCCTTGCTGGGTAGAGTATTCTTGGATTCAGTCCTTTGCTTTGCATCACTTTGTAAATTTCTGTCCATTCTTTTCTGGCCTGATGTGTTTCTGTTGAGAAATCGTTTGATAATCTGATGGGGGATCCTTTGTAGGTAACTCTCTGTTTCTCTCTTGCAGCCTTTAAGATTCTCTCTTTGTCTTGTACATTTGCCATCGTTATTATGACATGTCTTGGTGTCGGTCTTTTGGGGTTCATCTTGCCTGGGACTCTCTGTACTTGTGTAACTTTTTTCTTCCCCATATCTGGGAAGTTTTCTGTCATTATTTCTTCAAATAGATTTTCTAATCCTTGCTGTTCTTCTTGTCCTTCTTGCAGCCCTATTATGCGTATGTTACTTCGTTTCATGTTGTCCTGATGCTCCCTTAGGCTCTCCTCCTGTTTTTTAATTTTTTTCTCCAGTTGCTGTTCAGATTGAGCTTGTTTTTCTACCTTATCTTCTAACTCACTAATTCGGTCTTCTGCTTCTTTTAGTCTGCTGTTGAAACTTTCCATGGTGTTTTTGATTGTAGCTATATCACTTTTCATTTCTTCCTGATTCTTGCATAGGTTGTTGATTTTCTCATCCATCCGGTGAATGAATTGTACAACCATTATTCTGAATTCTTTTTCTGTCATGTTGCATGCTTCAACTTCATTAATCTCCTTTCTTTGTGATTCCTCATTGTCTTTCCTCTGGGTGTTGTGTCGTTTCTTCATTCTGATTATCTCCCGATGGTTCAAAGGTCGAGTTGCGTGGGCCTGGGCTGTGTGCAGTGGGAGCCTCCCACCACCCTAGTGTCACTGAAGAGCTCTGACACTAAGCTGTGTGGTTGTTGTTGGTTGGTGGGAACCAGGCTCGCTCTGAGTCAGTGTTGCCAGCGCTCAATGTGGCCTCGTATGTGCCCTTAGAATCAGGGACCCTGCCTGCACCGTGTTGAAAACCAGAGCCCCCTAGCATGCGCCAGGAGTCAGAGTTCCCCAAGAGACCAGTATCAGAGTCTCTGCTGCTTTGCTCGACCTCGCCTTGAGAATCCGGGCCCCTGTGTGCCCTTGCACCAGGAAATGGATTCACTGGCTCTTAGTATGAATGCACAGGGAATCAGGATCTCAGGCACAGTGATAAGAAACACAGTCAAGTCACTGGTGCTTGGTGCTGCCTCCTGCCCCGAGAAACGGGGTCCCTGGGACTGTGCTACGCGGACAAATTCCCGTTCGCGCGTTTGCTCCCAGCCCAGGGCTCTGAAGCCCGCAGTGGGCGTAGGATCAGTTCCCGGTGCTCGCGCTTTTGGTTTGCAACCAGCCCAGGACTCCGAAGCCGGCAGTGCACAAAGGATCAGTTCCAGGGTGCTCGCGC